GAGGGGGGGGGGGGGAGGGGGAGGGGGGGCAGCATGGCTTGTAGGACACTTTAGCTGCTGAGCCTCATGGGCATGAGGCAAGTTTTTTGAACTATTGCTAAGCATTAAAAAAAGACTTTGAGACATGTTTGTTTTCATAGGAATTACATGTAAAGTATTCACAGGAAGTGAAGCACACTGCAGAGAGACTGAGAGCAGACTACTAGCAATATATATGGTGCATATTAGGGTAATAATAATAAATAGCACAATATCATAAGCATAACAGTGTAATAGCCCAAGAAGCAAAGTGATCCAGGAGGGCATATTTATTCTGTCAGCTTCTCTAACTATTTAAACATTGCTCTCCTGGTTTTATGCCACTGTCCACACGCTGACTGATCTTCAAAGTAAAATACGTTCAGCCATGAACAATTTGTCAGCTTGCTTTACAACTTTAATTGACTATTTCCCCTACAAAGCAAATACGAGTTGGAAGCGAAGTGTGGGGAAAAAAATGATTTGGATTGATCCGCCATTCTTTCCAGGCCACACTGAGTGGCTTGCTAAAGTGGAAGATTGAGGATCTATCTTGGGCACACAGTCACTGTGTGTGTGTGCACAGAGCTCCCAAGTAGCTTGTTCAATCCGGGGTGGTTGGATTGTTTCAATAAATAACCGCTGCAGAGCCATTAGTCAAAGCCATAAAGATCAAACTTTGGGGATTTATGGTCTTCATTTAGAGACTGGTGTGTGCCCACAGACACACAGACACAAACACACACTGTCAGGTCGCTGCCTCCTGGCTATGATTGAGCATCTTAACATGCTGGGCCATCTGTGAGCACTGCTGTGGTACAGGTGTTAGACGATGTTAGCCCAATGAAACTGTTGTGATGATGTCTATTAGTCATTCTCGTGTAAACGTGTAACTTTGTGTGTCTGCAACGAAAGCTAAATGTTGAATGAACGGATTCTGCACCTGCACACATTTTTATCTCAGGCAATAGGCAGCCTGGAACAAAAGCTATATATACGTACATATATATTTAAATATAGCACACTAATTTATCTTTTTCTTCCTTAGCTTTTTGGAACAAAGGCTTTTAGCTTTAGAAGCTCGATACGGGAAGGAGCTCCAGGGTTTGCAGAATGAAAAGCAGCAGCTTCAAGATCTTATGGAAAGGCAGAGTCGACTGGTCAGTCAGCTTCAGGGTGAACTCGGAAGCTCGACCCTCAACAGCACCTCACTGCAGAGACAGCAGGCTGTGCTCACAGACACCGTGCAGCAGCTGCTCACAAAAGTCCATCAGTGCAACGGTAAGGCTGTCTGGGTTCATCATGTTTGGATCAGCACATTATATGGACATCATCAGACAAATCTCATGTGGATGATTCTGATTTCAGGACACGCTAGAAAGTACATATTTCCACTGTGGATATACTTTACATAGCACTTGATTTGTGTGCAGAATCCCCAAAGCTTTTTATTTTGCTAAAGTGCTGTTTTTTTTTCTTAGAAATCTCAAACGAGCCCAAGAACGACCCACTTACTTTCAGAGACTGTGCTGAGATCCTGCGATCTGGAGTGAAAGAAAATGGCGTGTATACCATACGCCTACACAACACTACTCAGGATGTCAAGGTAGTGAAGCAATAAGTACTTAAGTCCTAGACTAATTTAAGTAACCACCACTTGGACGGAACTTCCTGAATCCATCTGCATGCTTCTCATATCCAAGGACAAACTATAAATTAAAGTCTAGCGTTTCGTGAGGAAAAGCACTTCGCTCCCACTGCCTTGTATGCAAGATACATTTGTGGTGAGGAATAAAAAAGTTACAGCTATTTTGGTCAAAACCTTATCAACCATGTTATGCGTACTCACATAACGCAAGATCTAACAAAATCATTTAGCTCTTCAATTGAGTTGAGAATGACTCTCAGCTACTACCACATCAAATGTTATCAATACTAGTAAAAATTCACTGAGTCAGTAGTTATTTCTTGTGTTTTTGTGTTTCCTGAGGTGTCTCGAATAAACTCATTTTTAGGCTGTCTCTTTAAATCCAAACAAGACACTTCACATCCCACCCCAATCCAGCTTCCAGAGCGATCCATTCCCATTTTATAGAGGGCTTTACGACTATATAGCGGCGCATAAACTTTTTTTATTTACAATGAAATTAAAAGATGTCAACAAGATAAAATTTGTCAATCAAACCTTACATGTTGGAGCCAGAGTCTGACCCACAACCAAAGGAGAATGAAGTTGACCTAATTGTAATTAGGACCAGACTAGATTTAGAAGTTCTGTCGTCAGTTCTGTAACCTAATAGTTCAGAAAACGTCATAGAAAATAGAGAAAATTGAAAGGGTTGAAAATATATGACCTAAACAGTATATAAAGATACCAACGCAGCACTGGGATACTAAAATCATTGCACTCCTAGATACTCCAACTACACAATAAAATGCATTTAATGGCTAAAGAAGTGGCTTTGTAAGAGTTGTAATCACAAATTGTGCACAGTATGTAGCTTTTGGAGTAAGTTTTGTAAATTAGCTTTAGCGACCACATCACTAAATTGTAACTCAGTAATTTTGACGATGACAATAAATATATTTGCTGTGTTTTTTTTTTAAGATCACTTGATTGTGACATCTATAATTAGGTTGACTCCCAGTTATTCAGTTATAGACGTACATCTAATGATGACTTTGTGAGCGTTTCACTACAATCCAGTTGTTTATGATACTGTATATTTTGCAAAGACAGGCAATTTAACACACTCACATTCACACATCAAAACAAAAATTATTATCCTTTTTGACTTTGTACAATAAAAAATATAGCTCATGGGATGATAAACTCTAGAAAATTCTGAACTCCAGCAATGGATCTTTTACTCCCCATCAAGCAAGAGTTTTTGGTAAACTTATATAAATTCAGTATTACATAACAGTTTCAAAACAATGCTTGGGCAAGGCTGATGTGATTGAATTAAAATTCCCAGCTCTCAGTGCAATTTATTGCTATAGAAATCATGCACAGCAAATTGCTCATCCAATTTTTTCTTTTTTTTTTTTTTTTGTCATAGAAATACCTGACACATCTCATCAATCTGTATGTGTCACGTTTGGAGAAACTTTTGAAGATGACAGCAGTTGTGTTTTTAGACTTAAACCCAGCACAAATGGCTCAAGGGAGTGAAAAGTTAAAGAGCATTGGCCTTTTCCTACAAATATCACCTGACTGACATTGACATGAAGCTTTTTTTGGTACCCCTTCCTTTTGAAGTACTGTATATATTATTAGAACAGGTTTCACCCACTGTATTAGAATCACGTGTGGTAAGGACATTCTGCAGGCTTATCAATAAATCTTGGAAGGAAGAAAATGAGAATCTTGTGTGATTTCAAGGTAATTTGCAAAGGCTTTGTTACAGAGGTAGATGGGGGTACCATGCTGAGTGACAGAGAGAGCAAAAAAAAAAAAAAAAAGGCAACAAGAGCATAATGCCCCGCAGGCTTCACAGTGAGGGAGGGTGTGCTGCTGAATGCAAAGTCAGAGAAACCTCAGAGGAACCTCCAGTGATCTGAAGGAGCTCTGGCCTCTGCTAACTCAACCATGACATACACCAGCAGGCTATCATTTCTGTAAATCACATCTAGCCTCCTTGGATTGGATCTCCACTCTCACTGCTTAGCAGGAAGGGGGGGTGGTGAGGGAGATAACTGTGAAACAGCTTTTTTGTTATGCATTACTTGAAGTCTAGTTTACTGTTGGCACTGTCCTTCTACCCGTTGGTTTTTTTTTTTCTATCCCCTCTGTACATTTTCTGCATTTCCTTTGCGGGGACAGGTGTTCGACACCGGTGCAATGTGACTCCTGCCAACCAGGGGGCCAATGTGCATTCCCGTTGATACCAGTTAGTACTCCCCAAATCATGGCTGCTTTCAATCTGTGCCAGTTCCAGTGTCAGTCCAATTCCAGTGTGGCTGGCAAGCAAACTGGCCTAATTTAACAGCAGTGAGCATTCTTTCCTCTGTGTTTAATCATAGACAAAAGGCTTACACATACTGAATTTTTTACTCAGCATTTGCTATCTGAGATTATTAGCTGGCCATCTATTATATGTTTCCTCTGCCATTCGTCCATTTGTATTATTTAATGTCGTGTAGACTTTTGGAGTTAATTTTGATAACTACAAATTACATAATTATTGCTTTGAACTGACTACTTAACAAAATGTTTAAAACACTGTTATTA